ACTCATGTAATGGTACAAGATCCCAATGATGAATGTAACTGTATTTTATACCTAAAATGTACCAATAAAGTTAATGGGGAGAAAAAAGACAGAGAATTATACTACATATCAGTAGCCCAGGAAAAAAAAATCAAAACTAAAATTCCAAGTATGTTTTTTTTTTTCTTTTACACTGTCATAGAGCTGAAAAATCTTAAGTGGAGCCATTGTAAGTCAAGGACTGTCTATAATTTGGATTAGTGCTTCCCAAACTTCTAGGCAATGGTGCAATGCCATACCATGAGTGGGTCATTGGTGTGTTTTCCTAGCCCCTGCAACAGCCAAGTGGGATGTGGAGTCATCAAAATTCCTGAACCTATACCCTGGGGCCAATGCTATCTTTATTCATTTATCCAAATCCATACAGTGTGAACATCTTTGAAGTTTACAAGGTTTAAAACTATTATATGGTATGTTCTTGGGCCTAACCAACATATTCTTGACCTGACATTGTACTAGACCCAGGGTAAGACACAAGCTCAATTCCCATATCCCACAATATCTCTCAGAGTAGCTAAGCCAAGCTCAGTTCTGACCATGTCAACATGGTCACAAATTATATTTGATGAAGGTGACAGTGAAGATAAACACATAATTGAGTGTGATGATGATGATGGCAGTGAAATGGAAGCTTCACACTTCTCCTTCACATACTCATCTGGAGAAAGAAGGTGAGTCAGCTCAGTCTACTCCTTTATCTTCCATGTGCCTCAAAACTACCCACACTTACTCCATTTCCAGCAGAAGCAGCTGAAAAAAAATATCTCATGTTTGATTTGTTCTGATTTGTGAATAACCAGTTAAAGGCTTTATTAAATGCATAACATATAAACGGGTAGCATTCATATAAAACTGGAATCAATGTAATGTCAAATTTCTGGCTTAATCATCCAATGGAGAAACCAGTTGTCAAAGTCCACCTTGAGATGATAACAAATAAAGGAGAGCAAAGACATTCAGTGGTACCATACAGTGTGAATATGTGTTAATGATGGTGATAAAGGCTCATGACAGCCTCTAGTGTCCTTGTCATGACAGAGAAGATAAAGTCTACAAAAAAATCAAACCCAAATGATCACATTGCAGGTATGTCACTGCTGACCTTTCCCTCCCTCATCGTTGAAGCCTGAACAATTGGCATTCACTTTCTACAGAGTCCAGAGGCCTGAGGAGCAGTGCAAGAGAAGATACACAAAAGCTACTTCATCTTTGCCAACTTATGCCAGTCCTGACCCACATGTGTTCTTCCTTTCAGACAGAGGAGTTGCACTCATGCAAATATCATAACTGGTAGTTTTCTTCCATAGTTTGTTTGACAGGGTGCGTGGTGGCTCTGAAGTCAAAGCCCTCTGACCCAGGATGCCAGAAGTCTACACAAGAGGCCTCCATCCAGGAAGGCTGGCTCACCACACTGCCTGCAGACAGATGTGGTAAGAACAAGCAGACAAACGCTTGCTTTCAAAGGACAGAGATGTGATAATAAAGTCTGAGACTAACAAGCAAGGTATTTTCCTCAGTCTTTAAAAGAAACAACATACAGAAATTTTCCTGGAGTTGAAACCCACGTGACCCATACTGTCAGATGACAGTTGACCCTTGAAAATAATTTGTCAGGGCCGGGGATTTAGCTCAGTGGTGCCACGTCTGCCTGGCAGGCACAAAGTCCTGAGTTCAATACCTGATACCAAAAAAAAAATGAAAACAATTTGTCAGAAAATGTTCATAAATATTTGTTCTGAGAAACACTGGTATAAATTTTGAAATAGAATGAGGGGGAAAATACACTATGTTGGATGGCCACAAGAGTGAAAAAAGACTCAGGGACAAAACATTTTTAAGAATGATGTTTTGTTTCACATAGATCCTGCTGGGAATGCATATAGAATGTGTGTGTGTGTAAGAAACAGATAGATACAGACAGATAGACATATGTATATACCTATGTATGTGTTTATTAGGGCTCTCCTGAGAAACAGAACCAATAGGATATCTATGCATCAACAGATTGACTGATAGGTAAAAGAGATTTATTATAAGGGATTGGTTTTGAATGTATACACACATACACACACATCTATATGATATATGCACGTGCATAGGTCACACATACAGTCTATGTCAAGTATATATGTATGTATGTTTGTACACACATATTCTGTTTTTACGTACATTGAGATGGTTAATTTTGCATCCACTACTGGGCTAAGAGATGTCCAGATAGGTGGCAATACATCATTTCTGGGTGTATCTGTATAGGAGTTTCCAGAAGATGAGCACTTTTGAATCAGTAGAATGTAAAGAAGACCGCCTTCACCAATGTGGATGGACAATATGTAATCTATTCAGGGCCTGAATAGAACAAAAAAGCAAAGGTAGAGCAACCCCTACCCTCAAGCTGGGACATCAGTATCCTGCCTTAGGACATGGTGCTCCCAGTTCTCAGAAAGTGAGTTATATCATCAAGCATCCCTGGTTTCAGGCATTTCAACACAGACTGAGTCACCCTATGGGGTTTCCTGATTCTCCAGCATTCAGACAGGACATTGTGAGACTTCTTGGCCTCCATAATCATATGAACCAATCCCTTACAATAAATCTCTTTCTACGTATCAGTCAGTCCATTGATACATGGATATCCTATTGGTTCTGTTTCTCTGGAGACCCCTAATAAATACATACATAGGTATATACGTATGTCTACCTGTGTCTATCTGTTTCTTACACACACATGAGTGTGTGGTCATTCTGTCTACAGGAGTTGTTGAGTTGCAGAAATGTGCTGTTTAACTTCTGTACATATATCGTGTGTGTGTGTGTGTGTGTGTGTGTGTGTGTGTCCATGGTTGGTTCTTTCATCCCTAAAACATGTGAAGCTACATTTTCTGGGAACAAAAGAGACCTGCAAAGATATCCAAAAATAATACAAAAAAAAAAAGGAAAAAGGAAATTCAATTGCACAAGTACTTCAAAGAATGCTAAAATAGGAATTTACTAAAGTCAGAAAAATCATAATAATGAACTGTAAGTGTTAGTTGCTATCTGACTTCTTGAAGACAAGAATTGATTGTAAATCAATTTGCATAGGCTATGAGACATGAGGTATAAAATGTTCCGATAACTTTTTACACGTAAGGTTCTTGGAAACAAGTAGAAAATTAAGTTCCATCAACCAAATGTTGAAAGTAGAAAAGCTCAGCAGTTCCCTAGACACTTCTTGCCCAACTCACACTTACCGTACGGAGGAAGCACCATGTCACAAGGGACAGAGCACAGGCTGGGGTGTCAGACAGACATGGATTTAAACTGGGTCTTTGTTGTTTACTAGCTGCATATGTTAAGGTTTTTGAGGCTCAGCAAACCTATTCAAGCCTGTAGTACCATCTCACAGAGTCATTGTGAACAGTAGGTGGGGTGGCACCTCCCTAACATACACATTAAGTGTTTGTTCTTTCCCTGAAGTCCTTCACCCTATGTGACCAAGACACACTGATCTTTGTCTAAGTGTCCAAACTGGTGTATGGAAAATCTACAGGGCAGTACTAAGATGCTCTTGTAATTACAGTGACTCCCTTTCATACATTTTTGGTCCTGTATGACTTCTTGTACCATCTTATAGAGGAGTAAGCCAGTGTTCTGAAAGTCCACATTTAAAATGTAGATCACTGTACCCCACCAGCTCTTGCTCCATACATCTATCACCCCCACTTTTTATTGAAGGGAGAGCCCTAGGTCAGCATTTGCTCAGTGGCTGCAGGGCAAGTCTGCTGTCTTTGGCAGAGTCTTACAGTTCCCAAAGCAACCAGCCCTCCCAGGGTAAGCATTAAGATAGACAGGCATGCAACAGACATTTATTAAGCACTTCCCATATGCCAGGCCCCATCATAAACACTAGAAAAGTGAGTCCCCTATAGATACTTAGATATATCAATAGCTAGGGACCTAAATCTTTAGTTTTCTCATTTCCACAGCTGTCCTCCCAGAGAATAATGAGGGCTTTGTTGGTAACCTTCGATGCGTGATCAAATGTGACTGCACACCATGGACTCTAATGGTTCTCTGAGTCTCTGTGGATGCCATGTAATAACAATTTCAGACAGCATGTTGAGAACTGCAACTCGGGTTCCTAAAAAGTGGTTACCCTTTTCTACAGCCAGGCAAGCTCTGAGTAAAAATTGCTTGGCTAGTGGGCTTAATGCAAGTGGTTAGCAGAATAGGTAAGGGTTTTTCATTGCTGGAAGTATAGCACCTAGTGCATGAAGATCATAAAAAATGAGCAGGCATTAAAGAACAATGAAATGTTGCCATGTGCCTCATTTTCAACTTATTAGTCAAAAATACCAACAGCGCAACAGAGTATTTTCATTAGCAACTACCAAAGATGCTTTTTAATAGGAGAAAAAAACAGCAAAGGTACAACTCAAGGTGTCCTCCTTCACGCAAGAGACATCTGTCAAGAGACGCTCATGGCACTCCCCTGAAATTCCAAGCTGCTCCTACAGTCGTGGAAGAGGGAGGGAGTTACAGTTTGTGACTATGGAAAATTGGATACTTAGGAACCAGCTTTCACGGTGAAGTTTTCCAACGAAGTGAGACATCCCAAACCTTTTCTCCGGCCAAAGTTATTATACAACTATCGTAAAATTTCTGGATTTTTTTATGGCTTACTCAAACCAAACCTACTATCTTAAGGAAGCCCCCGTCAGTCCTGCTGGTGGAAAGAAGCTTCCTGAGTGGCAACACAGTTTTGACTGGCCCTTGAGCATAGTCAGATAAACTTCCATCCAGTAGACCAACAGCCCACTGACTCAGAAGTGCGTATTGGGAACCATGAGGACCAAGGTCAATAAAGAGAACCTGCCCTTACCATTCACTCAAAACATGCAGGGAGCAGGACTCTTTAATCTCACACCAGGAAGCATTCCTCACCGGTTATCTCACCATCCCTTTGACTTTATGAATGCTTCATGTATCGACTTCTTTGTTCCAAATTCTCTTTCTGAAAGCTCTCTGACATGATGCATAATTTCTTCCATTTGTTGGATTAGTGTGCATCACATAAACCCAGATATGCAACTGTGGGAAACAAGCAGGAAAATGATGTCACAAAGCAAAGGAAGTAACGCTGCTGGAAACCACAAGTCAATACTGAAGCATCGATCAGCTAACCATTTATGACCAATCATTAGTTTTCATCTCCAGGTGGAACAGATAAGCTATGGGAAAGACAGAGAGTTCTCTTCCTGGCTGTGGATCAACTTACCTTGGTCAGGATTTATTTGGGGAGGAAAATAAGAAAACATTTTTCAAAAATGAACAGTCTCTTTGTCTGTGTAATGGGCTATGGGAAAGACAGAGAGTTCTCTTCCTGGCTGTGGATCAACTTACCTTGGTCAGGATTTATTTGGGGAGGAAAATAAGAAAACATTTTTCAAAAATGAACAGTCTCTTTGTCTGTGTAATGGTCTCCATGCAGTCTCTCTATGACTCTGAATAAAATCAGAAATAATGTTTACTATGAGACCCTGGAGTTGTTCACAGAGCCAACATGAGTTCACTCAAATATGTGAGGATTATTTAAAAAGGTTTCTCATGCAGTTAATATTCACTGTCTTAGTCACTTTAGATTACCATAACAAAATACCAAAAACCGGGTGGCTTATAAAAGAAATGTAATCCTCACCATTCTGGAGCCCAGGAGGTCCAAGATGAAGGCCCAGCCAGATTTGACATCTGATAAAGGCCACTTTAACCTCATGTGGCAGAGGGATGAGGGATCTTTCTGGGGTCAATCTTAAAAAGGCACCAATCCCATTCCTGGGCACTCCATCTTCACCACCTAATTATTTCCCAAAGGCTCCACATCCTAATACCATCACCTGAGGCCGGAGGATTTCATCAAATGGGCTTTGGTGTGTCATGAACATTCAGACTGGCCATAGCATGAGAGCGTTTTCCTAGCTGATTTTATACATGATGAATCTCTACAATTGGTAAAGAGTGGATCAAGTTAAGGGGACATGGGGCAGTCACTCCTGTACACACACACTGACAAATATACACACACTCACAAACATGCTCACAGGAGCACAGTCACATTTTCATCAGCCCCCAGAGGCATTGTCAGAAACATTCCAGGGCTTCTGAGCAATTTTACACATAAAACAGGGACTGAAAAGGATCTCCGGGACAAAGAGGAAGCCAATGGGTTAACACTTTCCCATATACAAACATATGTCTTTCTCACAATGTGGTTATCACAACCCTGAAATTCATTTTAAATGCTACCATTGCAAGCATTTTAATAATTTTAAAAAGCTGTTGTGTTTGGCAGCAGCTTGCATGACATGTTGACAAAGGAAGGATTGCATGGTCTCTAATCAACTATTTGGATTACAAAGTAATTATGCAGAGATAATCCTCAGGAAACTGGAAAACAGCCTGAAGGGCAAATCCAGTAATGAGGGATGGAGGGGAAAGCCTAAGGCAGCCACAAATGCACTGAAGAGCTGCCTGGAGTTGGGGAATGAGAGCTTCCTCTGGGAGATTCGTGACTCTCTTTTCCTGAAAAAGAAGCCAGGGGTTCATGGCATTATCACTCAGTCCTCTTTCTCAACTGGCCACGGTGCCCAAGTTTTCTAGACTTATAGGCTCTGTCCAAAAGTCAGAATAACAAATGGAAAATGCCTCTAAAATTGTGTTATACAGAGAGCTCAAGACTTGGTTCTTGAAAAACACCAAGAGAAAGATCGGGTTTAATTTGAAATGTGTGAAAAAGGTCCTGTTCACTGTATGAGAGCACTCGGAATTATGGAGTGTGGCTTTGTGACAGATTATTAGCCAAATATTCTTAATTATCTGGAGTTTGCTTTCTGTTCATCTACCCTCCAAGATGCCTCTGCTTAAATGCAGACATATCCCATAGATGACTAACATGGGTCCATTGGCTGAGAGGGCTCTGCACAGGGGCTGCCTCCAGATGGAGGCCAAATGGACACAGCTGCAGGTCCTGTCCTTCCAAACTAAGCTTCTCTCTCTCTCTCTCTCTCTCTCTCTCTCTCTCTCTCTCTCTCTCTCTCTCT